GTAGCAAGAAGACGTCGACCCTCTTCTGGATTTGAGGAGGGTATTAACCACAGGCTCAGAAATGCCTTGAGCTAGAAGTCTCTCCTTTTCAAGAGCCATGCCCCCAATTTCAGCTGGTTGGGGTTCGGATGAACAGCCGGTCCCTGGGTCAAGATGTCTGGTCTGTGAGGAAGAGGCCAAGGAGGTTCCAGGCTCATCTTGTTCAGGAGAGGAAACCAAGGTCTGCGAGGCCAAATTGGAATGATGGCAATTACCTTCATACCTTCTTTCCATATCTTTCTTAGTAGTCTGTAAATCATAGGTAGGGGAGGGAATGCGTACCCCAGGTCGAATTTCCATGTAAGGGACAGAGTATCCTGTCCTGCTGCTCGAGGATCCACATGTAGAGAGTAAAACTTTTCTACCTGGGTATTGTTGTATGATGCCATAAGATCGATCTGGGGTACTCTCCACCTCAGGGTAATCAACTGAAATACATCTGGATGTAACTTCCACTCTCCCTGGAGAATCCTTGTTCTGCTGAGGTAATCTGCTAATAAATTTTTTGGCACTGGAAGGTAAACAGCTTTCAACCCTTGTAAATGGCGTTGCGCAAACTTCATTATAGGAAATAGTTCCATCAGAAGAGAATAGCTTCGGGTGCCTCCCTGATGATTTATATAAGATGCGACCGCTCTGTTGTCTGTATGTATTCTCACCCTAGCATTCCTCAGGAGATGACGGAACCCCTTTAGCGCCCTGAGAACCGCTCTCTTTTCTCTTAAATTCGAATGAAGTTTTGACTCCTTCCATGACCATGTTCCTTGAATCCACGCGTTGTTCAAGTGTGCTCCCCATCCCAGGAGACTGGCATCTGTTATGGTTATCCAAACTGGTTCTTCCAGGGGAAACCCTTGACATAGGTTTTCTTCTTTTGTCCACCAATACAGACCTGTTGAAATCCTCGGGAGGAAACAAATCTTCCGATCCCAATTCCCTGTTTTTGTCTCGAAGTGCATGAGAAATTGCCTCTGAATAGGTCACATCTTCCATTGGGCCCATTTCACTAGACCTATCGTGGAAGTAAGAGACCCCAATAGGCTCATGAATTCTCTTGCTGTGATGTAGGATTCCTGACGCAGTCGTCTGATTTTCTTCACGATTCGCTCCTTTCTTTCTGTAGATAGGGATACCAGGCCTTTCTCCGAATCTATATTTGCTCCCAAAAATATCATCCTCTGTGAAGGAACCAAAGAACTCTTTCTGGGATTTATCAACCAACCATGCTCTTGAGGTATGAGATGGTAATTCTGGTGTGGAGATTCACAATATGTCTGGATGGGCCTATTATTAAAAGATCGGCGAGATAATGATAAAGCTCGATGTTCTTTGTTCTTATAAAGGCTACCAGGGAAATAAGGATCTTTGAAAACGTTCTGGGGGCCAAACTTAATCCGAAGGGAAGTCCCTTGAACTGGTAGAGATTCCCCGAAATCCAGAACCTCAGGAACCGGCGATGACTGTCGTGAATAGGAATTTGATAATAGGCATCTTTGAGATCGATAGATGTCATCCAGTTCCTCGACGGCAGCTGTAATTAATACTCTGATTGCGGCAAAATTATGTATTGCGTCTCATTGGAAGAGTGACTTCATCCCATCAGCAAAAGAACTGCTTAACAGAATAAACACTACGTACTGCTATGAAAAGGAATGGGCAATAAAAGGGAACATGACCAAATTCAACGGACAATGGAAAGGATGGGAAACCACGTACAAACACCGCATCGACTCGGGATAAATTCCGTCTCTAGGATGAAAGGCACTCTCACACTACATTTAAGGTCGCTCGGATGTGAGGGTCTCATGTCTCATGTCTCTTGCCTTCTCTGACCTAACATCTCTTTCGCTCCTCTCCTCTCTCCCTCCTCTCCTTTCTCTACTCTCCCCTTTATTCCCCTGTCCCTCCTCCTCGCCTTCCCCGCCCCCTTTCCTTTACATCTTACCCTTGTTCATTATCTTCCCTCTACCTCTTCTACACCAACTCCTCTAACACTCCATAATGACTATCTAAAGGGCCATCGACTAAGTAAGTGCACAATGGATGGCACGGTTCTGTGGCTGGACTGACTGTCCTCACGCGTATATATATTCACCAGAACGTACCAGTAGGCAATATTCTAGTCAAACTATTTAAATCTAAACATGGAATGTCTGGAGACAAAATCCCCTATCAGAGGCTCCCTCCCACCTTCTTTATGACCACAAAGCCAATATTAACACATTTTGAACCAGGTACAGTAAGCTAAGCACAACTCTGACCTCTCTGTGGCCCCTGACCTGGTCTACCACTCCAGCATACAGACGCTCATATACCGCCACTAGGAGAATCACACGTACTCGAGTAAGAGCCATTAACAATAACCAATGGTCCCTCTAGCACCTGTACCTCAACTCAATCTAGCGTCATAGGACCTTATAGGTGATATATGTCATTCTGAATGTGTTTAAGCATGTTGGATCAGTCTATTCCACTCTAGTCCTGCCATGTCCGAATCATTGCTGTAAAAACCCGAAGATGTTACGATGTTCTCTTTATGTATATTATATAACATGTATGAACATTATGTACACATGCATTAAACTACTGTACGGTTATTATACTAAGAACGCTGGCTGCATAATGCCTGCATGTACGGACAACCCACCATGTAAATGTTCCTGTAATGAGTGAAATGTACAAAATCCAATCTGTCTGTAATCCCCCCAACCCCACCCCCTCCCTTTTTCTACTTTCTGTACCCCCACTGTTATTTTACTCTTATGCAAAATTCTCTCAATAAAAATCAGATAATGAAAAAGATGTCATCCAGTTCCCTGGCTTTATATTGGGCAGGATAATGGTAATAGACTCCATCTTGAATGTTCTTGTCATCAATTTTGTATTCAGACCCTTTAGATCCAGAATTAGACACCATTTTCCCTGGGGTTTTGGGGCCAGAAATAAAGTGGAATAATGGCCGCTGAAATGCTCTCTGTAAGGAACTTTTTCTATAACCTGGATCTGCAGCAGCTGGGAAATTATGTTGTTCAGAGCGATTTCTTTTCTTCCTTTTGAAACTCTTGAACGAATGAAAGTGTTTTGATAAGGGAATTCCTTGAATTCTATCTTGTATCCTTCCATTAGAATAGACAGAACTCAAGAATCTTGAATATTCTTGGCCCAAACCGGATAAAAGAAGCAAAGCCTGCCTCCTATAACATCTGGCTGGGCCAGCAAACGTAGCAGAAGTTTTTGGTGGGTGGTCGAGATCCTCTTCCTCTAACAGGTTTAGATGTAGAGGACTGATAGCTTCTCCAGTTAGAATTTCTGTATTCTTTGCCGGGTCTATATGCTCTACTATCTCGAAAGGATCGGTCTCTGAATTTTTTTATCTTTCCAGTAAGATGCATTAAATCTTTTCCCTTGTGGGAGAAAAGCTTTTCTCCCATCCGCTGCTTTATGAATTGCATCTTCTAAGACTTTATCAAAAAGGAGGTCACCTTGAAAGGGGAGCGCACATAGGGAAGCCTTAGAAGCGTAATCTACCCCCCCAGGAGTGAAGCCATAATGCTCTTCTGGATGCTACTGACAGTGCCATACTTTTTGCTACCATCTTTGTAACATCCAGTGAAGCTTCAGAACAAAATTCTGTGGCTAATTTGAAATCCTTAAGTCCCTCCATCAGGTGATCTCTAAGGACTCCTCTATTAATATCTTCTTCTAAATTATCTACCCAAATTTTGAGAGCTCTGGACAAGGTGGTTAGGGCAATAGCGGGATGTAATGCTGATCCCAAAGCCAGGTATGCCTTGATAAGGTTAGCGTCCAATCGCTTTTCCATAGGTTCTCTTAAGTATGCCATGGAGTCTATGGGAAGAGTCGTTCTTTTTGCCATATGGATCACTGCCGCATCAATTTTTGGAACAGAAATCCATGATTTGCAGTATTCTAGAGCATACAGATATAGTCTGGGAGTTTAAGTTTTTAATGTAACCTTTCTCTCTGGTCTATTCCATTCTTCCTGGATTACCTCCTTAATAGCAGTGTGGACCGGAAAGGAGGGCCTGTTGGACTTCAGATCTTCGAAATATCTGTCAGATTCCTTCTTTTCTGTACTTTCTTCAGGGATTCTTAAGGTTTCTCTGATAAGATAAACCAATTTATCCACAGCCCTGGAATCCAGGGATCTTGGACAACTATCTTCCTCTTCTTCCTCTGAAAATTCTTCCATTAAGTTAGAATCTTCTTCCGATTCTACATAACTCTCCACTCTAGGACGCTTAGAGGTAATCATTTTATTTGACGATTTGAAGCCTTCTGCTATAGCTTCTGATATACATTTTTTTTTTTTTTTTTAAATCAGCCTGTGGGGAACTTTTCTTTTCCCATTCATTAGCAGCTTCCGCCAGGCAAGCTTTGCACAAATTATTCCCAGGAGGAGCCACTTGGTTACAGTTCGCACATCTATTAGACTTTTTTTCTGGGAGAATTCTCTTGAGACCTTTCTGGGCTGAAATAGAGGCCAATATGTAATATATTATAGGCCTATTTTGGCACTCTTTTCCCCCCTTAAAAATTTTTATTAATAATTTTATTGAGGCCCACCTATGTCTTCTAGAGCAAGATCTTGAGGCAGAGGGGGAAGCCATCTACAAAGAATAAATACTACTTAATACTGTATTAAAGACGAACAAAGAAAAAATTTTCAACTGGAAAATTAATAAAACAAGATATTTACCTTTAAAAGGTTCTTGGTCCCCTTCTATTTTCTCTTTATACTGCCTCTCTTAGCAAACTTATTACCTCATTTGGATTCCACTACCACCTGTACGCTGACGACACCCAGCTATATCTCTCCTCCCCGGACCTCTCCCCTGCTGTCCTGCAACGTGTCACTGCTTGCCTTTCTTCCATCTCTGACTGGATGTCCTCCTGCTTTCTGAAACTCAATCTCTCAAAAACTGAGCTCCTTGTCTTTCCTCCTCCTAATACTGATCCTCCTCTTTCGCTCTCCCTTCAAGTTTGTGGTACCAACATCAGGCCATCCTTGCAAGCGCACTGTCTTGGCGTCATACTTGACTCTGGTCTCACCTTTGAGCCTCACATCCAGCATGTTGCCAAATCCTGTAGATTCCATCTTAAAAACATAGCCCGCATCCACCCCTTTCTTGCACCAGATACTACCAAGGAGCTTGTCCATGCTCTAGTAATTTCCCGCATGGATTATTGTAACCCTCTCCTGCTTGGTCTTCCCAAAAGCCATATTGCACCACTACAGTCTGTAATGAATGCTGCTGCTAGACTGATTTTCCTCTCTAGTCGGTTCTCTCACACCTCACCCCTCTGACAGTCCTTACATTGGCTTCCTGTGTGCTATAGGAGTCAATTCAAGGCACTAATATAAAAGAAGGAGAAGAAACTGCGCTTTAAATAAAAAAAATTTTTTTTTTTTTTTTTTTTTACATACATACACTTGATGTTCCTTAATCGGTGTGAATAATATATCCTCAAAAAAAACACAGAGGGAGATACAATAGTGCAATATGCTATAATAAAGACCAAAATTAATGTGTAAACTGAGGTATTTCAAACTCACATTTGGTAGAGCTAATCAGGAGCTCTACCTTAACTTGCACGGACAGTATAATCCCCGTCTCAGGATAGAAAGTTCAACTTTTCAATGCTCCATTGATGTGATGGCATAAAAATGGAAACAGAAGAGAGAGAACTCCAATAGTGTAGCAGTTCTAATTTCAAATGTGGAACAAATAAAATGAAGGTTATTGTACTCACATTTGTTAGAGCAGACAACTTGCTCTAGTATAAAAGGCTTGCAGTGGTATAATCCCCACTGAAGGATATATGGTACCAGGAAGTGATGAGGAAGGTGAATAAAAATAAAGTAGTATATCACTTTAAAATTATTTAATGATAACAAATATTAGCAATATAGAAAACAAAAAGGGCTATAAAAAATAACACTTTATGCGTTTCGCCAATTCGGCTTCATCAGAAGTATAAAGTAAATGTCCTCAAGTTCATCCTTGATATATAAACTTACATATGTAGAGATGGCTTCCTGGTGTGTTGTGGAACGCACGCGGCAACAAACCGGAAGCGGCGCGGCGTCCACGTGTACATAGATACCCACCGTGGAACGCACGCGTCGCACCGGAAGTGACGCAACGTGACCACAGGCAGTTTGAATACATGCGTTCCAGCGGTGGAACGCATAGTGTTCGCGGCATATTTCTATGGCAACAGAAGTCTTCCACGGCGATTGCAGATGACAGAGATCCTCTTTTGAAGAAGGGCCAGATGTCAGGAAGTGTAAATTGATGCGTTCCAACAGTGGGGCGCATAGTGGTCACAAAGTGATCTTCTGTTCACCAAAAGTCTCGTAAACATGATCCAAGATTAAGTTCAAATGTTCACATCATGTGAATCTCAGCATGTAAAGCCAAACACATTAAAAAGAGAAGAAAAAAAGAAAAAAATACACCATAAGGCAATGTCCAACTTCAAATGAAATTAGATATACATGTATAAAAAATAATGTGTTAAAAATAAAAAATAAAAAATACACAGAATACATATAAATATGACTTATGTCTAAAATTAAAAATATTGTCATAAAAAATACTCTTGAAAATTACTAAAATTGAAACAAAGTATATGTAAAAGCAATAGGTGCATAAGAAGTTATTCCAAAAAATCAAAAAGGGGAAAGCCCAGGGATGGAATGTGTTAAAATTGGATAAAAAAACAATTTATTGAGCCAGATGAGAATTATAAATTATTATAAAATATTATTATAAAAGAAAAATATATTTATAAAAAAAAAAAAAACTTTCTATAAAAAATTAAACAGATCAAATTCCACATTTAGACCATCTGGGTGTAGAGTATTCATATTGTAAACCCATTCCATCTCTGTGCGTCCAATTTTCTTAATGTGGTCACCTCCTCTCCAATGAGGTTTTACAATGGTGATACCAATAAAAAATTCAAACTGCCTGTGGTCACGTCGCGTCACTTCCGGTGCGACGCATGCGTTCCACGGTGGGTATCTATGTACACGTGGACGCCGCGCCGCTTCCGGTTTATTGCCGCGTGCGTTCCACAACACACCAGGAAGCCATCTCTACATATGTAAGTTTATATATAAAGGATGAACTTGAGGACATTTACTTTATACTTCTGATGAAGCCGAATTGGCGAAACGCATAAAGTGTTATTTTTTATAGCCCTTTTTGTTTTCTATATTGCTAATATTTGTTATCATTAAATAATTTTAAAGTGATATACTACTTTATTTTTATTCACCTTCCTCATCACTTCCTGGTACCATATATCCTTCAGTGGGGATTATACCACTGCAAGCCTTTTATACTAGAGCAAGTTGTCTGCTCTAACAAATGTGAGTACAATAACCTTCATTTTATTTGTTCCACATTTGAAATTAGAACTGCTACACTATTGGAGTTCTCTCTCTTCTGTTTCCATTTTTATTTATGCCATGACATCAATGGAGCATTGAAAAGTTGAACTTTCTATCCTGAGACGGGGATTATACCGTCCGTGCAAGTTAAGGTAGAGCTCCTGATTAGCTCTACCAAATGTGAGTTTGAAATACCTCAGTTTACACATTAATTTTGGTCTTTATTATAGCATATTGCACTATTGTATCTCCCTCTCTGTGTTTTTTTTTGAGGATATATTATTCACACCGATTAAGGAACATCAAGTGTATGTATGTAAAAAAAAATTAAAAAATAAAAAATTTTATTTAAAGCGCAGTTTCTTCTCCTTTTATATTGTTTCCTTACAAGGCTGGGAATCCTTGCACTAGTTACTGCTGCTTATTTACTCTTTTTTTGTTTTTAAGTGAGCACCCGACACACCTCTCCTCAATTCAAGGCACTAACTCACACCTATAAAGCACTGAACAACTCTAGCCCCTCTTATATATCCTCACAGATCCATAGGTATGTCCCTTCTCGGTCTCTCCGCTCTGCCCGTGACCACCTCCTGTTCGTTGTCCGCACCCGTACGGCCAACTCGCGCTTGCAGGACTTCTCGCGGGCGGCTACCTTCCTATGGAATAGCCTGCCTCCCGCCATCAGACTCTCCCCTAGTCTTGCATCTTTTAAGAAGTGCCTTAAAACCCATCTCTTTAGGAAAGCTTATGGCCTCCAAAACTAACCCCTACCTCACATACCTGTCTCCTGCCCTCTCCTAAAGGGCAGCCCACCTTATTTGATTGCAAATTCCTGTCCTAATGTGTTTTACACCCCACCTCCTATAGAATGTAAGCTCGCTTGAGCAGGGTCCTCTTCAACCTATTGTTCCTGTAAGTTTATTTGTAATTGTCCTATTTATAGTTAAATCCCCTCTCATAATATTGTAAAGCGCTACGGAATCTGTTGGCGCTATATAAATGGCAATAATAATAAAAGAAAATCTGGATGTAAGAGGCAGCTTTCCTAGTTACCAGATGATCAGGGAGGTTGTTAGCAGCAAAACCGCTCAGTTTTAAAACTTTTTATTTTTGGGCGCGATATACCTTTAAGCGCGAAATTAATTTGCGCATGCGCAGAGTGCCCGCTGGACGCCGCCGGTACTGCGCTTGCTCCAGAAACCGAGCACAGAAGAGGCCAGGCTCTGGTGAAGAAAACCTCTGCAGTCTGAGCCTCCCACAAACATTATGCAGCTCAGGTAAGAGAAAACAAGAGATCCTAAAGCCTAATAAGAAAAACAAATGAAGACTTACTGTTTAGATGATTACTGGCTTCTCCACAATACTCTGCCTTCTGATCAGGGGGGGTTTGATGTTTAGCAGGGGGATTTTTAAAGCTACAGCTGACCCCACATCAATTATTATATATATATATATATATATATATAATTTCTCCAACTCCATGGTACAGATAATAATCTGTACCTAACTCAGTTAGTCCTGCCTGTGCAGGCTGTTTACTGAGTTCTTCAGATGAAGAGAGGCTGAACTTCATCTGGAGGCCCATGGTACACATGGGAAGGTGGCCCAAAAAATAAATTATGCTGTTTGTCCTGAAAGGACAGGAAAAAAAGACTGTGGGTTGGAAGGAGGAGGGACCTTCTATACCCCAGTTGGGTCCAGATTAATTGATTTTTCCTGTCCTGTACCTGATTGGGGCAGAGCTAACCCATAAGTGATGCTGCCATGATTAGCCAGGAAAGAGAACTTTTGAAAGTGTCTGCATGCAGAGGGAGGAGACACTGAATGTTTGGATGCATTTTAGGGAGCCATGACCCAGGAAGAATATCTAACAGCCATCTCAGGAGTGGCCAGTGAAATTATCACTAGGCTGTAATGTAAATACTGCATTTTCTCTAAAAAGAGGGTTTACAACAAAAAGCCTGAAGATTGTTTTTTACCTGCCATTTTTTTTTTTTTTATCACCCTGGACTCCAAGTGGGGATCATACCACCAGCGCTATCTTCAAGGAGCAGTCGGCCTGCTCCTTTCTTGTGGGTACCATTTTATATATTTTATTTCCAGTATTTTACCCAGTGAGCACTATTGGTTGTCTCTTTTTTTTTTTTTTTTTTTATCCGAGTGTTGAACATACCACTGACGGAGGAAGCCTACCCTATATCCCATAAGCAGGGATTGTACCACTGTATGCCTTTCATATTAGAGCGAGTTATAGCTCTTGCAAATGTGAGTTTTATACCAGCCTTCTATATTCTATTCCCTTTTATTATTACACGTATTGCACTATTTGGTTCTCTATCTATTTTATCTCTTACATATGAGTGGACCTATACGGAGGAGAACAGCGAGGACATTTGTTCTGGACCAAGCACCTACAAACTCTGTGACTCCAATAAGAGCATTTTAAATAAGACTTTTTTTTTATTTGGACTAATTGTTATTTTTATTCCACATTAAGTCTTTCTGGCGCAGCCCTTATTTATTTTTCTCTATATATATTTTTATATATATATATATATATATATATATATATACACATACGCATACACACAAACTACAGCTCCTTGATAAACTACCCCAATACACATACACTTACACTACAGACTCTAGATACACACGCACACACTTTACAGGCCCTATCAACAAACACACAATCTCCTATACATGAGCACACGCATGCACTACAGCCCTAGTACACCATAAACAGACTTGTCTACACACACAATTCACC